GAGATCGTTGGTCAAGAGTGACAATAGACGGAACCGACCGGTCGACGGAAGGTCTTGCAGTGGATCCTTGTTAGCAGGGCTTTCTGGAAGGTATATCAGCAGCGAGACATAGGAACTGCGTACCGTCATGAATATCACGATGCCACCCGTCCGCAAACCGTTTCAGCTTGATGTTTAGTAGGCGGCGCCCAGAGCGTAGAATCCCCGAAATATAGTCATCCCCAACAATCGGGCTGCTTCTGGCGATAGAAGGCCTGTCAACCGCTAGATTATCGACGTACTCTACGCCACAGCCGCTGGTGAAACCGCACCCGGTGCTGAATAGGTCGACGAAGTCAGAATGGGAGATTCCAGACTTGGACTCGGTCGTGCCCACTTTATCCGAGAAGCTGCTGGAGAACTTCTTATCAAAGTCAATCAAATTTTGAGCGTTCGCATGGCGTTCTGTGTGGTATGTGTCAAGCAGCGCATCTGAGCTCTTTTTGTCTGACGAACTAGGGGTTAGGCCATTGATATGATAAGCGAGCTTCCAGGCCAGATTGTATGAATCCATCATGGACACGTTCATGCCTTGGCCAGCCTGGACATCTACGTCAGCTGTTAAGAAGTAGTAAAAGATATGAACGGCCTACCTTTGGACTATGTGTATGGCATGCTAAGATTCATTAGTAAAGCTTGGACACAAAGTCTCGAGCAGTGAAACTCACCATCGCCGACAAGAAATACGCGGCCAAGCCCGCTGGAGTCCTTCACGATAAATTCCGGACACACTCGCTGACCAATCTGGTATGCAGCCCACCAGTCGATTGCATCATCCCTCTTTGGTCGAATGTAGTACGGCTTAAACACATCCCCAACCTGCTTCAGGATCCCTTCTAAAGTGACCTGGCTCCGTTTCCCCTTCGCCTCTTGCTTGAGATCCGCATCGGTGCCGGCACTCCCAGACTCTACAGCCCCTGGAACCTGCACATAGATTCGAGTAATGTATTCACCCGTATTAATCCGTTCACGAGGAATGACCATAGCAGACCCCGCAGATGAATGAACCGCGCAGCGTCTGCGGATATCGGGAAAGTTAGTGTCAACGACCAGGTCTACAACTCCCCAAATATAATCCAGTGATTGACCTTCCAGCGAAAGGCGAACTGATTTGCGGACAACCGAATGCGCGCCGTCTGCCCCGACCAAGTGTTTTGTACGAATGACCCGCGGGACCCCATTGACTTCAATTACAGCAATCACGGGGAATTCTGCATCTGTATGCTCGTCGATCCACAGCGATAGAAGTTTGGTGTTTCTCATGACTCCGCGCGTTGAGTATCGGAGGAGGTCTGTCTCCATGATGCGTTCTACGCGTCCTTGGTGGATGGTAGCCTCATAAGGGAACCTCGCAGGTGGGATCACTTCCGGTACGATAGATCGTCTTTCGATCAATTTCACCGGGTCGTCAGAGACGTTCCAGAATGCGAACTCCCACATTTGGCATGCCTCGTTCTCAATTTCATCGGATATACCCAATGTCTTCAGAACCTCCAAGGTGCGAGGCTGTATCCCATCTGCCTGGCCAGATTTTAGCGTGCCAGGTTTTGAGTCAATGCATAATACGGACTTTTCTGACAAGCCGTATCTGGCTAACAGCAGGTGAAGCATGAGGCCTGCGGGTCCGGCCTGGCCAAGGGTTAGCGACAATAAGCGTCCGGGAAATGGTCTTGCTGACATACCCCAACAATAACCACCTCGTATCGCTCTATCCCATCTTCTGGGGGTACGAATTCCGGGGTCAGGCGAGGAAGTGGAGGTGCAAACGATGGGTGGACCCTGAGGTCGCGCCAACTGAAGGCCTGTTCAGTGAAGAGGGGCATGACGGCGCGGTGAAGGTGACAAAGTGAATCTGTGTTGATCCTGGGTGATACGTAGGGCGACAGGAACGCGGCTTAATATCTGTTTCATCCCATCGCTCCATGTCCTTCTAGTTATATTGACACTGGTCTCGGATACACTTCAGAAGTGCCGGTCTATTTCAGTAGGTATACCTCGTAAGCCACCCCGCCGGATGTAATACCCCGCCATGTGGCGCCCGAAATTGCGGGGTGCCTACATGTCGGAAGGAAGCGAACCTCTTGGAACCCACAATTCGACCCCACGCATCAGGCTTGCAGATGTGGGCTCCTATCTAGTATGATAGGGTGATTCCTTCGGAACCCTGTTAGACACGCTTTATAGCAACTCACACACTCGGTTTATTTTCTACCGCAGTACACAGAACAGAAGAAAACGATTGTGAGATGCCCCATCGGCCAATACGATTTAGGAGGTCAATCAAGCGGTGTAGGTGACTGACGCTCACTATTGTAGCGTCGCCGAAGCCTTGTCCCTGAGGTTTAACGGGAGCCGTAAAATTCTCTACGAGCCGGACCTCGGGAGTGTCGAATGCGTCGGCATCAATGGCATGGCGGCCACCAACGTGAGTAAAACATAGCCATACCAGAGCTGCGCTGAAAAGAGCTCGAGGTACATGAATTGCCGGCTCCGACGAGACACGCATCCGTTCAAGGTACCGCTGGATTAATAAGGTATGCACCAAGCACTTACTAGCATCGAGGGAGGTAGCCCACGACCTGATGAGAGAAGAGCTGGAGTTAGCAGCACTGTCGCCGTCTCGACCAATGGCTTGCTCCAGAAGGTCTATATCAGCATAGATACTAATGAAAGCGGAGTGCCACAGGACCGGTAGGCTAAAAGGATCGTCCTCCCCATCCAGTGGGAAGTGGTTGGTATATATTCTCCACCATCGCATGAGGAGATTTGACAACTGTTTAGATTCATGTTCGTCCAATGTATTCGACCGTCGAGCTTCGATAATATGTGCATTGATACTTTCCAGGACTCCATACGCTGAGAACCTAGAGAATGACACCGCCGCTTGAAGCGGGTCGATTGAATTAGAGAGTGAGAAGTCCTTGGTTGGCGTGTTTCTGTAGAGTTCGGCCCATCGCGACGCGGTGGGTGCCATGAACAGTGCGTCAGAGGCTACACGTGGATACTGATTGAGACGATGTTTACGGAGAGGCTCGTGGTGCAGTAGACTAGCCAACTCTGCATCATGGATGTTCAATGCAATCTCCACCCGCCTTCGCTGTTCGTGATCAACCCACCGACTCCACTGCTTATCTAAATCAACCATCGTGGGGTCCAAGTCTTCAGCGTCAGGCGGGCCCGGGTTTGCGTTTTTGTTACATTCACGCGCCCATGCGATTACGGTACCATGCAGCACATTTGCCAGGGTGAGAGTCTTGGGGTGGCCCAATAAAATTGCGAACGTCTGACCAAGTACAGCGGCTTGTACCATTGATAAGGCATGATCACAGCTGTGCGACAAGACAGTCTCCCAGGACGCTAAAATCGCTTTATTCAATCTCTCAAAAAGACGGATCCCTCGCGCAACGGCAGAGGCCGATCCTACAAAGAGGCTGCCCACAGAGCAAATTGAGACGAAGAGCAGAGAATTCTCCTTCGTGGGCTGAAACGAAGGCGCATGTACGATAGGAAAGAGGGAGTTGAAGCGGCTGAAGAAGAGGTTCGCGTAGAGATTTAGTTGGTCAGACGACGGGAGAGCCTCGTCGTGTATGTGAGGCTGCAGCGTCTGCGACAGGCCCGCCCGGTAATTCTCATCAGCCGCAACGTTTCCCTCAACAAAGGAGCCCCCACGATTGCTGGAAGCCCTTGGCGAGTTCTGTCCCCCTTGCCCAACTGTCAGCCGCGAAAACCATCTCTGCTGTACGAGGTTAGTTGGTAGCGCCTGAGCATCTGTCGGTATACCGCCGGAAGGTGTCGGTGTGGGTGGACAGAATATGGAGACATCGCCAGAGTTAGATGGCGGTCGTGGATGCATTTGCGCCCATTCTGATACGGCTGACGATAAGGTAAAATCCAAAGCATCGACGTCCAGCCCAGTCCACAGAAACCAAGAATTTGGATCAGGATTGAGGATGGGGTCGTGGGGAATCATCTCAAGAGGGCGTTGGGTCTCTATCGACTGAGGGTTCCCCACCTCAGGTGACTGGTTGGATAACCCAGGCATAGGAGCGGAGTGGTCTGGGGTCCAAGGGGAATTGAGTTCTTCCTGGGACAAAGTTGACACCATGGTGGTGTCCTTTTCCAATTGGTCTGGTGATTGTGAAGAAGCATTATGCTGATTTTTTTTGTGGCGTCGCAACACATCACTGGAAAGTACAGGTCAGGTTGGTATGTACATACGTTGGTAGGAGTGACTACGTGGCAAACCTTCGCGTATAGAGCTTGCCGCAGATGGAACATCTGTAGGGCTTTTCTTTCGTGTGACTGCGAAGATGGCGCGTCAGATGCTCCGCCTTGGAGAAAACCCTGTTACAGGAATGGCAGCGCCGGCTCTGAACAGAACTCATTCTGTTTCTTGTGATTGTTCATCAGGCCTTCGGGACCAGATGGATACGGAGAGGAATCTGGGGGACATCACCGATTGTTAGGGGCGAAGCCCGCAGAGATCCGGGGACTCCACATCAACCCCACGGTGGTCGCACGTGACCCGATGTGCCCCCCGCATTGCGGAAGTGGGGTGAAAAGGAGTTTCGGCTCACCCCGCAACCTATGTATGTATGGATAGTACATATCCCAGTGCTCTCCACGCTAATATAATATAGTATAGTACCGAACCAAATATAATTCGACTTCTCCTCTACTTGTTACTATCAGGTAGAGCTTTATGAATTGACATCTACAAGCGCCCTGCACTATGTGCCATGTCACACATAATATAAATGCCAGTTAGTTTGTAGGACTCAGAGATTGCAGATCAACAGCCCCCGATTCGACCGACCCAATCACATTTGCCCAGGTACCCCTCGATTTAGATATGCCAACTCACTTAGGCACATGTGTAAGCTTCTTGAATCAACTCACACCGAGTGAACTCAAGTTACATCCAGTACTTGTCAGCACAAGACAAAATATTTACCCAGGAAATGTCTTTAAAACTAGAACATAACTCTCATATCACCGCGCCCGCTTTTACTTACCCAGCGCTTCCGCAAGAGCCTTATACCACTCGCATGATCCGCCTGCTGCCACATAAGGATAAGAGTGCTCCAATACAGTGTGTGCTGTTCAACTATGATTTATCAGAGACAGGCGGTGGAACGCACCTTTACCAGGCACTTTCTTATGTATGGGGAAGTGAGGTGAAGCCCGAATCAATCATTCTAAACGGCTGCACTTTTCATGTCACAACAAATCTCCATAGTGCACTTGTAAACCTCCGAAACCGCCAACTTGACAGAGTACTATGGGTTGATGCAATATGCATTAACCAGGACGATGAAGATCAGGGAAATGAGAAAAGCAAGCAGATCCCACTGATGCGGACGATTTATGCACAAGCCGAACGTGTCATTGTCTGGCTGGGAGAGACCACAGCGAATGGTGATCAAGCGCTTGAAAGTATTCGTTGCCTTGGAGAAGGCCAGGATACAACCTCTAGCCTGGACAATCCGGAAAGCTATGATGCATGTCTGCAGTTGCTACAGCGAGATTGGTTTAGTCGTATCTGGGTAAGATAGCAATTGCCCATCAGTGTCAGAAACCATCACTAACAAGCTCAAACAGGTGCTTCAAGAAGTGGGCGTCGCACGATGTGTTTATATCATGTGTGGCCCTGTTTCTATAAACGGACACGTCTTCTGCGAAGGCCTTAGCAGACTAGGGCTATCCTCAGATTTCCGGAGCAGGATTGGCCCTGTTGCTTATCTCATAAAAGGCGCACTTTATCGGCCTAAATATGAGCTTGGTTCGCGAGGGTCCATCTCTGTAGGGGAGCTCATTGGCATGTATCAAAACCATAATGCGACCAAGCAGCATGACAAAATATATGCACTGTTAGGCTTAAGTGCCAACCCTATCACAGCTGCCCTAGAGCCGAACTATAGCCTCCCTTGGAAGGAGGTATTCAAGCAGGTCGTCAATCATATATTCCCTGAATGTTCGGTGGACACATGGAATGGGACAGCAACAGCTGTTATCAAAGGCAAAGGATTAATCTTAGGCAATATTAACTCAGTTGAGGAGAGTGTTTCTGAATTTGGGAAACAAAATGTTGAAGTCCTCTTCAATGACAACGCCCAGCGGTTTGGTTTCAATTCTTTGTGGGAAACTAATTGGAAACCACAGGCTTCTGCAGTGCTGATCCAGGCTGGCGATATCATCTGCCTTCTGAAAGGGGCCTCAAAGCCAAGCATCATAAGACTGTGCAGAGACCATTTCATCGTCGTCATCCCAGCAGTGACACCCCAGAAAAGACAGGATAAAGAGAGTCCAGCGGTAATATCTCCGGAAAGACTATATATGAGTGATCTTCATGATATTCTACTCACATGGAAAATTCCTGATGCTAAACCAGAAAGAAAGGATAAGTCTGAGGTGATATCCCAGCTCAGTGAGATAGCACCAAATTATCGAGAAGAGTGGTCCTATACCGAAAAAAGATTGAAACACACAAGGCTCGCCGTGCTAGATATTGCAATGACAATATTAAAGCAGGGAAAGTTCGAAACCAAGGCAATAGAACAACTACTCCGTCAAAGTGGAACAAAAGATCCAATCATCAAAGAATTGGTTATGGATTCCGCACACGAAGATAGACGATGTATAGAGACACTCCCACATGATCTCTTCTTCTACCAAGAAAATGATCTACCATTTTCAGAAGATATGGTTATAGCTGTAGCAACAAATTATAGATCACGTGGTTGTATCATCGTGGAAATCCTCCTGCAGCACCAAAGAGCGAGTCTCCCAGTCTCTGAAGAAGTGGTCAAGGTAGTGGCCGAGAGCCTAGATGGCGGAAATAGAATTATGGAGGTTCTATTTCGACACCAAGGGAATAATCTTCTAATTTCTGAAGAAGTAGTCAAGGCGGCAGCAGGGAATATGTGGGTTCATGGACCCCAGATTATGGAAGTTCTATTGCAACAACAAGGGAAAAGTCTCCCAGTTTCTGAGCAAGTGGTGAAGGCAGCGGCAGAGAATAGAGGACCTTCTGGACCTGGAATTATGGAGGTTCTATTTCAATGCCAAGGAGAGAATCTCCCAGTTTCCGAAAACGTGGTCAGAGCAGCGGCAGGGAACAGCCATCATGGACCTGAAATACTAGAGATTCTATTTCAACATCGAGGGGAGAGTCTCCCAGTTTCTGAAGAAGTGGTCCAGGCAGCGGCAGGGAACAGCCATCGTGGATATCAAATTATGATGATTCTAATTCAGCACCGAGGGAAAAGTCTCCCAGTGTCTGAAGAAGTGGTTAAGGCAGCGGCAGAGAATAGAGAACCTTCTGGACCTGCAATTATGGAGGTTCTATTTCAACGCCAAGGAGAGAATCTCCCAGTTTCCGAAAAAGTGGTCAGAGCAGCGGTCAGGAACAGCTGTTGGGGACCTGAAATACTAGAGACTCTATTTCAACATCGAGGGAAAAGTCTCCCGGTTTCCGAAGAAACGGTCAAGGCAGCGGCAGGGAACAGCCATCGTGGATATCAAATTATGATGATTCTAATTCAGCATCGAGGGAAAAACCTCCCAGTGTCTGAAAAAGCGGTCAAGGCAGTGGCAGGGAACAGATGTTGTGGGCCTGGACTTATAGAAGCTCTTTTTCAACACCTAGGGGAGAATCTCCCAGTTTCTGAAGAAGTGGTCAAGGCAGCAGCAGGGAATAATGCAGAGTTTGTGCCTGAAATTTTACGGCTTATACTTATATACCGGGCGAAGAGTCCCCCAATTTACGAAGCAGTGCTCAAGACAGCAGGAAACCTAAAAATTGAACTTGGATTGGTGGCGGCGCTATATGCACCTGTCCAAGAGAATATTTGAATATGATCCCTTCTCTGCTACAACTACCAAAAGATTGTCTCTGTCGGTATCCATGGAAACTCTTGGAGATAGTGAGTTCACGAGATATACTCAAGTAACGGAGGGCCAAGTTCTATGACTCCAGTCATATGTGCATATCTAGTGACCGCTACAAGTGGAGGAATCCACATTAATATATCTCCCAAGGCTTGAGAGAGCCCTATCCGATTGATGCTGATGATGATAATGATTATGTTAACCAGCCCAGAATACTAAGAACACTTCATCTCAAGGAAACATGGTCAGCTTTACTCATATGCCACAGATGACGTGTCAGCTCGCTTTCAAACTCACCCCATGGCCCTCTTCCTAATAAGCCACTATCACTCAGGCTTCTTTCGCACATTTAAGCCCAGTCAAATCACATAATCACTCAATCAATCAACCATGAGGTACCTCACTCTCATCACCCCCTTCCTCTTCACCGCCTTCTTCACCCAAGGAAGGCCACCTTCACGCTCTATAGTGAACGCCTGTGGCCAGCTCAACCAGTTCAGGATCACGGCTGGCCTGAGCCAGGCCAGGGCCCGGACCACAATGCGGAACCTGCTGGGAAATCACAGTCACTTCGGACCTGAGTGGAAAACCCGCGGAAGGGAAGACTACGAAGGTTACCGTGAACAATATTTGTCCCATCGATGGCAACCCTATTTGTGGCATGCCGAACAAATGCGATGCTGGGATTCAATTCGACCTATGTATGGATACTAGTGCCAAAAGCTTCCTTCTGAGGCAGGAACTTGGACAGCGAAGCAGGTTGGCTGTGAAGCGGAGTGATGGGGTCTGCTTGTTGGCGACCTGTTGGAAATTCAGTAAGTTGACTTCCCCCTTTTTTCTTTCCGGGACTAATATTCATGGCTAGCCTTTTACTTTACAGCATTCGTTTCAAAATTAGCACGAGCGTTTGGTCATTCAGTCAAATGTAGGGCAAGAGAGGGAAGGGTAAAGGAATATCGCAGATCTTTAAAATTCCGTACACGTGTCTTGACTTTAGGGGCAAGTTAAGTTATACTATAACAGGGCTTCGTTTGCAGTGTTTAAATAAAGAGCCCGATTCTCAAGTAAGAAATTAAAATCTGGACTCCTGCGTATTGACTGACTGAATATGACATGGACCGTGTGGTATTCATATACAATAATTATGTTTGAGAAACACACTTATACAAATTTGAGGTTGTCATTTCAGCTTCTACAGGCGAAGGTTCGCTTTGCGATCACATCGTCTAGGCCTTGCATTCCGTCTAATCGTGAGTTATGTGTAATATTCTTATCGACTCAAATGGAGAACCCTACCGCCCCTGCACGATGTGCTTTATATTGTATTTGGGTGACAGATATGGGCTGCGGTTTGCAACGAAAGAAGTGGTAAGAGCTGTGCATATTAAAGATTTCTAGATAGTAAGGGTCGTGAGTTTTAATAATGCAGATTCTCTAGTCGATCGTTTTATGCGCCTCAACTTGTGTAGAAGATCACATTTTTATTCCGGTAAACTGGACGAAGTAGTATTCCTAGGTGCTACCTTAGTGCACGGCCTGATATATAACCATATGGCTTGAGAGATTTATGCCCTTGAGATCTTCGAAGTCGCCTCGTGTATCTTCAGAAGCCGCATGTCTAGCATGATAGTCCGCATCTGTATTCCAATTCCTTGGAATACGCCAGAATTTGACTTGCATGCCATTGCTATCCCATCTTTCTATTTCTCCAAGTAGGCATTCCCAAAGGTCCCGGTTCTTAACCGCTGCTCCTATTTTCGTCTTCCAATCTCTCGATAGCCATCCACGTACCCAAGATGTCACACCCTCGACAACATATTCGGAGTCTGTCGCGATCACGAGACTGTCGAACCCTTCGCCTGTCCAGAACCGAAATCGTAAAGCTGCAATAACGGCGCGTAGCTCTGCCCGGTTGCTTGTTTGCGGATGCGCTTCACCAGTAGGCCCTGAGTTTTCGAGAGGAAAGCGTACGTAGCTAAGATATTCAGGCTGTATTGTGGAAGATTTGAAAACAAAGCTACAGCCGGCTTTGGGGTTTGCTCCGCCGTTATCTAAACATGCACCGTCTGTGTAGATAAGCAATTGTTTGGCGTTGTTTCGATGAATGAACCGGCATACAGCTGGTGAGGAATTATAGCTGACACCAGATGGGAAAAGTGACTGCGGGGTATCCCTTGTGTTATCCGGGTGAAACTTTGTAGGAATGACGCGTCCTGTGCCGACTCTAAGTCGGGTCATACTGTCAAATGCTGTCTTTTTGTCGAATGTTGACTCGTCAGATAGACTTTCCTCGTCGAATGGTCTCTCCTCGTCGCTTATGTTTTCATCGCGAGAGTCTTGATCTTCTTCTAATACTTCTTCCATAAAACTATAATCAACAGTGCAGATAGGACAGACGACTAGGTGATGTGAGCCACACACTAAATGGCCATTGGGAAGCTCGACAGGGCTGTCTGGGCGAAAAGACATCTTTCAAGTCGGTTATTGAGTGCAACACTCAAGGCGCAAATCCGTAGCAGTAGTAGAGTAATATTCGGGGGTTTCTTTCTTTGAGTGAGTTAGAACCGCCCAGATATATGGAAGGGGGTTAACGTACTCGAGCATAGTTTTATTCATTAAGTAGTATATGGTGCTGTGAGGATGTTGGGTGGGGTGCCCGGTGGTCCTCTTACGTACAGTCTCTGGGCACGAGATTTTTGAAAAGTGAGTCAGTATTATCTTTATCTTTTTCAATTTCCCACCGCCTGGAGCAGCTATGCAAGTGGTGCCCCCTGCCTGGTATCAAGGCTTCCCTGACCAGCCCAGAATGAAAACAAAAATGGAATGAATGGGATAGAGCCAGACTAGACGGACAGATATTTGTGGTATAATATGCTTAAATCTTCTGGCTGAGAGGCCACTAGGACCCTGAGACCTGGCCTACTCTGTGTAAATTGTAATGACCAGTTACTCAGTATATACTACACTACAGGGGATTGAATCTTGGAGGTAGCTCCGGGTAGAATATGTGCCCGCTCCGGGAAGTAGACCTATCGCCCTGACTGCTTAGAAGAGACCCTCTTCCTCTTCTTCACGAATTAGGGGCCTTCCTCGTGGTGTTTTGCCATTGCATATAAGGAAAGGGCAAAAAGGATATCTCGTCCCCCGTGCCGGAATAGCCAGCGACCTTCTCTGATTACAAGGTAAGAAATTCCATTACAGTCAGACGTCATATTCAACTAGATCATCAGGGGTTAAGAGATGTATTTATTTGTCAATATATGTAATATCAAGTAAAGCCAAAATTTACGGCATATTTTATATCATAAGGCACAGATAGTTATTGGTTTGTAACCTTAGAATCTGTGGGGCAAAAGTATGGAAAAGTAGTAGAGGCAATATGACGCCTTACCTACACTTCCCTAGCATGTCGATTGATCTAGACAGACCTATGTCATTGAGACTATTAGTAGTCACTCATACTCGGAGGCAGATCCTCATTATGCGTCCCCCAAGCACTTTCCGTCAAACCCAGCTCCAGCTCAAGCACACCACCCTGGTTGAAGAAGTCATGACCTATCCAATTCTTTGTCCACGGCTTACCATCCCGTTTAGCGTTTTGAATATAGATGGCCTTATAATTCGGATCAAAGTTGAGGTTGCGAATTGTGGCAACCGCGCCGGTAACGCTGTTCCGGACACTGATCTCTTTGAAGAAGGGTGGTGTGATCAGATAGACATCTTGTCCATGAACTGGAAAGAGGCCCATCATGCTTAACACGGCGAATGAGCCCATCGCTCCACCGTCGTCGTTTCCGGGGATTCCGGAGACCGATGTATTGAACTGAGATGGGATGTAAAAGTGGGACCGTGCTGCTGAGAGTGCGGGCCGACCAGCATAGTGGAACTGGAAAGTAGTAAGGAAGGCTTGCTCGTCTCCAACATATAGTATACCCGAATCATGTAGGTAGTTCAGCCGAGACGTAAAGAGTTGAGGGCCTCCCAGTCGTTTTATCAGAAGACTCATGTCCTGGGGTGCATAACTAAGCCCGGTAGGTCAGCTTAGGGTACTGTGCCTGTAAGGAAGAACGTACAATGTATAGAGCCAGGAGCTTCCTTCATAGGTTTCGTGCCCATCTGGGTTCAGATAGCAGGATGTAAAGTTCATCAGTGGACTACAGAAGATGGGATCTTGATATCCCCATGTCCCATTCAGATAGCGAGGCTGCAGGAAACCTGTAAACCCCGTATCCACACCATTGATTGTCGATCTCTGATCATCCTTGAACATGTTCTGCCAGTTAGAAGCTCGTTTGAGATATTTCTCATAGTCGCTGTCATGCCCCATTCGCTTAGCGACCTCGGCGATGCAGAAGTCATTGTATGCATATTCGACGGTCCTCGAAATGCTACGCGTGTGTAGCCCAGAACCATCAGGATCGTAGTCATCTGTTGGGATATACCCCAATCCCTTCCAGCTCCTAAGACCCCCGCGCCCTTCGACATTCCAATTCGACGGCTCAACTTCTGCATCTTTTACAATAGCCTCGTATGCTGTATCCCAATCGATATCGCTGACATTCTTTAAGAATGCATCCGCAATGAGAACGTCTGCATTAGACCCTCCTTGAGTATACCCCTTGCAAAGAGACATGCGACAGTCGGGCAGATAGCCTTCATGGCGGTAAATGTCAACCAAGCTCCTGATCATTCGAGATTGAGACAGGGGATCCATCAAAGTCAGCAATTGGTGTACTCCACGGTAAGAATCCCATATACTGCGATTTCCTTGTCAGTGATCTAATAGCCAATTCCCGCGGGTTCTCTCACCAATAGAAGCTGTCGTAATATGGCTCTTCACTTTTCCAAAGAGGATTCTCTCCTGTGTAATCCTGTGGGCTAATCATGGCTCGGTAGGCACCACTCCAGAAGACCTTCTGTAGGTCAGTCGAGACGCCTTCAGCATCAACTTTTATTACATTCAATTTATCCCTCCACGCAGACTCAGCCGCAGACACTGTATTAGCAAAATCGAAACTGGGCTGCTCTGTTTCTGCGTTGGTACAAGCCTGTTCAACACTGATAAAGCTGACGCCAACACGCGCAGTGATGGTATTGTCTTTCAATGCGTGGAACCTCGTAAAGGTACCAGCCGAGAGCGTAGCTGGGGTATTCCCCCCATCTTCAGTAAGAGTGACAGACTTCTGGCTGGAATTAGCTCGATTTTTAACCCATGTCCCTGTGTCCCGAATATCGCCGCCCTTGAAGTCTACACAGAAATGGAGCTCATACGACCCAACACCGAAACTGGGATTGAATGTGGCGTTCCCACTCAGGCGCCCAGAGGCATCAACTGAGGCTACGCCGCCCTTTCGCGACTGCGGCAGATCCATGAGATCAACCAGAATCACTGGACTAAGGGAGTCTGTGGGGACGTTGTTAAATGTAAATCGGTATAATGCTGAATGGTTTGTCACCGTCATCTCAGCTTGCACGCCATTTTCCAGAGCAATGCTAAAGTAGCCTGGTCTGGCCTTGGGAGAGTCGCGTACCCATGCGATTGCGCGATCGTTTTGTTGCCATTTACATTTGTTGAGATCATCGTCCGGGCAATTGGGCTGCGCGAATATAGGGAAATTTCCCATAGACGGCGACTAAGAGCAGGTCAAACCCCTACCACTGTGATAGAATTATTTCTGAAGCCAGCACTTACACCCCCAGTCCCGGAATCATGGGTATGCGAGAAGCCAGTGACCGTTTCCGTGTCAAATGCAAAGCCAGCTTGATTCTCCCCCTGTGTGTCTGCTACCGCTTTTGCCATACCTTTACGGGCGTTAGGGACTGGTTTCACATGTTAAGTGAGAGAGGAATCACCAAATGGCAGTGTCGCCCCAGCAAAGGAATGTCCTATACTGGCTAATTAGCATACTGAGCATACAGAACTGCTGTCACGCAGATACATGCCTCCATTGGAAGTTCCAATAAGCGGATCAACATAATTTAGGACATCAAAAGCATTTTGACCTGCATCTTGTCCGCTTGCTCGGCTCGCAAATATAAATGGCAAAGCAATCGCGCCTAGGAGCGTCGGAGATGCGAAAGCTGGCATATTGTGGGAATCAGATCGCACATGCAGGGATTGAAGATGCGATAAAGAGGAAAGAGAGACAAATGGGGACAAGACCTCAAGAAAAGATGCTTAAAAAAAGGGGGACCCCGCACGCACTGCCCTATTTCCCCCCTTGCTTGTTTTCAATGTGGCTGGACTATTGAGATGACATCCCATAAATGCCCGGCCACGTTAGGCCGAGCAAATAGATGCCTCGAAAGGGCCACATGGCTTTCTGTGTTTGCCCCCGCAGTATCGATGGGTCATGTCCGAGCGATTCAAGCCAATTGTCAATGTGATACAACTTCAAAATGTGACATTGAATGCAGCCCCTCTTGTGGAACGATGTGACATTGCGGAAATTACCGCAGCGATCAGGAAGAGAATAGCCTAAGGTACTCCAGAGCAGACAAGGTGATGCGGGCCAATGCCGATCATTTCGGATCTTACTTCGGGTGCAATATAGCTTCGGCGTAACCCCGCAATTTGTAGGAAATGTTGCACCGCCTTTAAATGGGGTCTCTGAAAGAGGCCAGTCAAACATCAAACAAGATTGTATGGTGTGTTAGCATGGACCATGGTGCAAGTACGAATCCACTCTTGTCGGTGGCAGTGAAGCCGTACCGAAGTAGCCTTCCCAAACCTTAGCTACCTTTTACAATCCCCTTAATGCCAGTGCGCATGAATTGAGTGACTGGTGAAGTGCTTTAATATGCTTCAGCCGCGTGGTGGATGTCCTGGAGTTGCGTTCTAACCAAGCAAATAGGCGGAGACCAAGCCGCAATCGCCGCCAAAGGATTGGCCTGGGGGTTCTTTAGGCCTGCATCTCTAGTCACTTTATTTACGGGAAAAGATGGCCAGAGGGCTTGTGAGTTGCAAACGTCTCAGATCTATCAAACCGTATGGTACTCTTTTGCAACAACTCTTGCACAATCGACAAGAATATATCCACGAGGCCACATAGCCCAGTAGGGCATTTTAATGACGACAGCAACCAATTAAGAGCCCCGTATTCTCATCAACTCACCAAATATATGCACGGGTTGACCGCGCGAAATATATGAGTTAGACTCCATTGGGTATGGTCCGACTCAGCAGCGATGAGAAATGCATACATGTCAAGTACACCTTAACAGGATCAGATTAGATCCATCACGATTCTATCCCAAGACTTCCCGCTCGTATCGGACGGCAATTTTGGGAAGATCGGCAGAGTGCTAGTTGATGAAGAGTTAATGATGGGCTCGTTCGTTGGCAGCCGGGAGGTGAAGTATGCCCGGAGGTTAGCATTTTCGTTTCGCAAAGCAGCATTTTCTGTCTTCAGCTCTTGAACCTCTTGTTGCAGTGATTGCTGGGCTTCGAGCTCTGTCATCATGGACGC